CGTTGATCATTTGACCTTGCGCGGAAAGATTGAAAACAAAAAGCGAAACTACAAGAAACAATGCACCTTCAGCTTTTGCATCGATTTTTAATAAATATTCTAATTAGTTTATCTTTTAAATTTCTCTTGTTGAACGATTCTATCAAGAAAAACGCACGTCTCTCTGTGTGTGCTACACAACAATGAGCTGTGCAAACTAAGAAGTCGTATCCGCATCCAAATTCGTGCGAATCTGAGTTTTGCCGCACCGGGTTCGAAACGACCGGTTCTTAGGCGTCCACCTTTCCCACACATCTATGACATGTCATACTAATGTATGCAGATACACTTGAAAAGTATTATCTCAGCTACGACTTGAAGTAAACGTGACGGGACGAAATCGACAAAGAGGTGACAGATCATTCGGAACTTGGATGTCCAAATCAACGGGTAAAATATACTAAGAATTGTCTCACGGATTTGCGTGACACAACAAAAATTTGTCTGCGGGCAACTGGTTGACAACAGAATGTGCAGTATATGGGCGTGAAGCGGACAAGAATCGTCGTAAAAGCTACCGAGCAACTAGTTCAGAGGGAATAATTCTGAATTAGAAATATTTATAAAAATTTCACATGTGACAGGGATCAAATCAGAATTCACGGGCTAGTTCATTGAAACAGTGTGAACGATTCGTGTCCATCCTTGACCACCACATAGATCATAGACGAGTTTTGTCAACCAGATCATATCAATTAAATCTTTAGGCTTAGTCGATTGTATCAGTACAAGAGTACTGCAAATCTGACTGAATATTGTGTTGCATAAATCATAATATAAAACGACTATTGCCAGCATCTGAAACAAGCCCTTCTGGTAGCTTGTTGCAAGGAAACCCGTTAGAATCATAGTGGATCCAGCGAGGGAGACATGATTTGATGGGCTTATAAAAACCCACTGAAACCCATCGTTTGGATACAGATACCAGACAAAATGTCATGAACGTGTTAAATTGAGGTGAGAAACACCTTTCGGAAGAGGTTCTGGTTTCTCACGGAGCACTCAGAACGGATGTGAATGCNAAATGATTGAAGCACATTATATTTAGTTTATAAATCACGGATTGCCATGCGGTTCTACCTTGTTTGGTCTTTTATAATGTGAACACGGGACTACGTTTATTCCCACCTGTTTTATAAACTAGACAATTTATCGTCGAATATTCAATCACCAAGTGAAACAATGACCTCATTGACCGTTTTTGATTCGGGTAACTCAGTTTACCTGAGTACACAAAGCAGTTTTGCTGTCATCTGGTTCAATATCACACCTAGCCTGGTGGGATCGTATGTGGTTCTTCAATCCGATTCTCAGGGCTCAAACTATTGATTATAATGAAAGAAACATCAGTAGCTTCTGGCGACTGCGAGGTTTGTTCTATCTGCTCTTTTATTGTTCAAAGAGAAAACACGCTTTTGTTGAACCCTGTTCGGTCTAACTAGCGGTACGAATGCACCAACCAAACAACCTGGAGTCGGACTAGGAAACCACTATGATTAAACGCAAGCATGCTACCCATTTGACTACCGGGCAGCTTAAATTTTCCATATATCATATTGCGTAACTTGTCTCGTAGGTATCTAACCTCGCTCAGATTGACACTACTAATCTGAATATATATTGCAAGGCTTTAGCGAGGGATTTGTGTCGACCATATTACAGTATATAAAGCACTGTGGCAACGGTTTGAACGGGGTTGTCCAGTGAAAAATGCCGCACGGTAGCAACGTGATAATCGCTCGCCGTGATCGGGTTCTAATCACGCAGTGAATGCGGAGTGCGACGCATCACATAAGATGACTCCTAGTAAGGATGGGTGAGGTGAATTCAGGGCGGCTTTTCACCAGTGAGTGACATAATGTGCATGAGGAGTTTCTTAGCTTTAAAGCGGTGGTGGACAACCAAGTCAGAAAAAGGATTTAATTTTCAGTGGAGTTAATTCAATCGAGTCCTGACAAGGACACAAAAGGTAAGCACTGCTGACGAATCCTAAACAGGACGAAACAGCTGTCCAGTGTTCTTTGTTGGTTATCACAAACATTTCTATCGCATTTGAAGCTCCCCAATTCGGTTTGTTGATCGCTTCTCTAATGAGTTCGAACCGGTGTGGGACGAGCGGGAAGGATCTCAGAGCGTGAGAGAACAAACTCATCAGATCAATGCCCAAACTCGGACGTCTGCATGGGCTATGGCAAGAGCTATGCGCAATAGGCGTAATTGATCGACCGTGTAGCTCAGGGGGAGTGGATTAGGCCAACAGTCCTAAGATTGGTGGTTCAAATCTAAACGGGAACACACAAGTAAACCTCTGGAGCGAAACAGCTTTTCATGGCTCTCTGCCAGTTGCCAGCTTCGCTACTGTCCGGATCAATACCAGGCCTAACCTGATGCGGTCTCATGTGGTTCGCCACTCGAAGCCCCGGGGACTTAGGTTCCCAGTTTCCATCACTTGTATATTTATTGCATATCATTCGATTGTGTGATCGAAATAACCAATGCAATAGTACTTCTTATCAAACAGCGTATTCAAATTTAATGTTGATAAATAAAATTCGCCGAAACCGTGTCAATGAACCCTGGTGCTCCTGTATCTATTACCATTTTATGGTACTTTGTTTCCGTTGGGTCAACGAAACTCAAAATGCTAGGTGGAATTAAAAACAACGATGGACAGGCAGAGGAAAGTTAAATTCAATATGCTTCAAACTTTCGAATAAGGACAACGCTTTATGCTTTCGTATCAGGTGATCACTTTGTTCGCTCGAGTTTGGTTCAAATGATTCCCAGTTCTGAGCTCAAATCCGGGACAGTTTGTTGCAAGACGCCCTTTTGATGAGCTGTTTTCAGCAGGGTGATTGACTGGGTGATTGAATGAATTGGGAACCAAGATCGTAAGCAAATCAGTATGGTCTATCTCACGCCACTAATCACACGTATCTTTGAATTGGAGGTGTGTGTATGTGTGTGAACATCGTCATCAATTAAAAAACCGAAACACAAAACGTCTTCGTGTAATGGATCAGCTCATTTAGAAAAATCGCAAAGACCCGAAATCAGAATTCACATTGGAGCAATAAACATTTGACCTTATTCTCGGGCTCTATTTGCACGTTATTGACCGATCCTTTGAATTCACTCATTTTCCCGGCACTTGTGTGATTCCCCGACAGTGTTATATCAGTTCACCGGTCAACTCGTCCGATGAGGTGTGCTCGCCATATGGCCAGAGTTGGTTGTCTGAACTTTAGTTTTAGTTTAGGAAAAAACGCAATTGTTCAGAGACGTCGAACCTTCGTGGTTCAATTTACATCACTTATTAAGGAAACAACCAAAGTGAAGCGTATGTGAAATCTTTCCGGTTTGGAGCAGATAGCCCTTGAAGGGCTTGACATCTGGCTGCCGTTTCGTTCAACTTCTTGCCCGAACGGCTTTGTTGGAAAGGAGAGATTTGAGTTGGTGGCAGAGAAACAAAGGAATTAGTCGACCGGAGAGTTCGCAAGCTCCTGATGTGAAAGGCCAGGAACAACGCTGACCGTAAGTTGTACGGTTTGGGTCGAACTCCGATCAAATGTGATAAAAATACCACGCGCGCTGATTGTATGAGGGCGCGTGTTTACCAACAAATTGAATAGGGAATTCATACTGTTTATTCACAGTAATCCATGTCGAAATACGAATTGTATATTTTTTTAATCTATTTATCGCAAATAACAACTGAGCGTGTTCGAAACATTGCATGGCATACCTATTTTCGTTGCTTTCACGAGAATTAGTTACTCGGAAACCAGATTCGCACAATTCATGACTGGAGAAAAACAACGATATGGAGCGAAAATTGTAGAACGTCAAACTCAAAGCAACGCAAACAACCGGATCGATTTGAAAGTGCAAATAGTCAGTGATAATTAGATGCAATTCCCCCACAAAAATTGAAATCACATTTTGATTATGGGTAAGTTACAAAGCTGATGCCTATTGAATCCCTTAGGATCTGCACACACTGGGTATAGTTGGTAGGACACATAAGAACACATCGAGGTATGTTAATAGTGAACCTGACTACGTCTTCACAACTGTATGAAAACCGATCAAAGCGAGACCGATTCATGGTACGGAAAGACTAGCAAACAATCATGAAGTACCAAGAACTTCAACCCGGTTAGTTGTGACGCTATTCAACACCACAAATGAGAAAAGATCAATCATTTACGCTTTGACTGTGTGGGTGATAAAGTCATTTCAAGTGCAGCCATTAGTAAATCAGTAACTATGACACCGGACCAGAGTTTGAACCAGGAACACCATCTGTATAACACTCTTTTCATGTGCACATGGAAATTTGTTTTGACAACTTGTGATGCGACGAACTCCAGGTTATGGGAAAAAGAGATCAAGTGGAGCTTTCAAGTCACAAATAGATTATCATGCCGAACAAACACTGCAAGTTTCTCAACCAGGCAAGATTAAGTATCAGATATTCAGAATCCCTTCTATAGTTCATATGTACGTTGCCTACAGTCTATCTCATGTTTTGCTACGCGAAGGACTTCCTTGATTCTGGAACTGCATGAAGTATTCCTTGACTTGAATTGATGCGAGGTGCGGGAGTGTAGAGCTTATTATGTTTGTAGCAGTGACCTTTTATCCTCTCGTTTCATTCCCGGCTGATATCCCTCTGCAACGTCTAACACTTCTACATTATTGTCAACCCTTCTGATCAAACTATGCTTTACAAAAATGTGGATTCAGATCACTAATTTAAGAGAAGTTCTTCCGATATTTTATGAAGGTAGTTGAAATGAGGTCAGATAAAGTCTTATCTTATCAGCAGTAAGCCCATAGTCTCGAAAGTAGGCGCAAGTGTGAGAGAGAATTACATTTCGGATATCGAGTCGCGAAATAAAATTTGAGAAAATCATGGCCTCGTCAATAAACCACATCATCAACGCAATCACACATATTCATGAACTCACCTTGATAGCCATCTCGTTTACATGAGCACTTAACATTGCCCAGCGTTTTAAGGCACGCTGGCGTGCTTCGAACTCATCTCTCACAGATTTATGTCTCCGTGGTAGAGTGGCTTGAGATAGTGTTTGACTGGACATGGTGGACGGTTGACTTGCACCGGCGTAACCTTCCGGGGCTGTTCGAGCCGTCATGTTCCAGTTTGGCTGACTCTCTGGACGCTCATCCGGAATGTGTTCCTTATCTATCTGCGGACTGGACCAGTGGGCAGTCGGAGTTGCTTTCGTATCGACCGGGCCATCATCAAACATATCCGGGAGATATTCACTATCACTGGTATCGTGAGAGCCAGCCAACCACTCGTTCAAATCAAGATCAGACTCGGCTTCGCGCATTTCGGTATCGGTTTCCACGGGTCGATCCAATTGTTCCTCACTCACGGCCTCATCACCAACACTAGGTATTCGATCGAGCATTCCGTTTTCTATGGTATCTCGTAATACTCGATATGTCTGATCAAGAGTAGAGGCCACAGATTCCATTTTCAGCGATCCAAATTGAGTCTCATCTGTCGATCGCGGATGCGGTCTCTGTTGAGGAGGTGGAGTCGGCGTCCGGCTTCGACTCGGAGGGACCATTCCATTATTAAACTGATCAATGTCTTCGTAGCCCGTTGTCGGACTAAACTGAGATGGAAATTTATGTTTTCCCTCACTTTTGTCCTGCACGTATGAATCGGTTTGGCCTCCAGACGCTGTCATGCGTCGAGGGCCGACTGCTTGATTTGGCGCTTCTTCGTTTAGCTTTTCACCATTGGGTGCCTCTAACACCTGAAGATCCTGTTTTGTTGTTCCAGAAGTCCTACTTGATGTCTGATCCTGATGTGCCTCTGGTGCAATCACCGAATTATCATGGCTAACTTTTCTTGATGGCGTTGTGAACTCCGTTTGTTCCGGAGTAGAACAACCGTCAGAACCTATTTGCCTCGAATCGGGCACGACAAGTGCCTCATTCCTTGTCAACATCTGACCCAACGTAACCATATCGTCTTCTTCAGTTGCACTTCTGTGATACGCCATATTCGACATACTTTTGATAGTGTCTGATGATGCTCCGACTCCAGTAACGATATTCAGTGACTCGTGCTTAGTCCCATCCACTGCAACGTTGCGCGGACTGTGAGTAACATCCTCGACAATAGGTCGATTCAGCTCGCTCTCTTCTTCTTCGCTTGTACTGTCAACCAAATCATCAAGAATATCAGTCTCGCGTATTGGAAGCATGGCAATGGTGTCCGCCAATTTCCATGTGGAGGCAGCATCATCAAAATAACGATGCACCTCCTCGTGTGGACAGGTGCATCGATCCACTGTGTGAAAATTTCGCTCATACCACTCGGCCGCGGGCCACAATCCGGGGTCCGCGCGCACATAATCACATGAACAATCCAGATGGCTTTCCAAATTGAATGCACTTCGTTTTGCACGAGCATTCTGTTCCGGAGGATCCCTGAGAGGATCGGAATGTGGCTGAATTGATGGACAGTAAGATCTACGTAACAGATCAGGTGAGAGCAGTGGAACAAAACGTCGGGCATTGGTGATCGTTGCCGCTGTGTATGTACTGGATGTCATGCAAGTTGCAGAACGTCTAGCTCCATGTTTTCTTGATCGAGCTGGCAGGGCTGGTGGTGGTGGAGACGCTGTATCCGTCCGTGGTTGATGAGCTGGGGAATACATAAGTGGACGCGGAAGACCTGCGACCGGTTCGTGGGCATGCATTCGCACAATAGTACGTACCAACGCCGGTGGAGGTTGATTGGACTGTCCCCGAGTTGTGGTCACTGAACTGTAATACTGCATTTGATGCCTGGAAGTGTACTCGTTCCTGCAGTAAGGAGCATACGGATCTGACGAGGGGATTAGGGAGGGTGAACCGAGCAAGCTGTGCATTGAATTCCCGTTCGGGTGTAGTCCGATATAAGGTTCATTGCCAGATCGTGGCTGGTGAGCAACTGACAAAGGTCGAGTTAAACCTCCCATCGGGCCTCTAGGAGAGTTAGGCAATGAAATACTTGGTCCAAGGTGACCCCGATTATAATTGAGCGTGTCACTGTGAGTCAGTCCGCTGGTATAGACACTGAGCGGAACACGTAAGCGAGATGGCAATTGGCTGTTCGATCGAGAATATGTAGAATAAGTAGTACACACATCCAGTGGTCTTGATCTTGCTGCCCAGGGCCGTTGGGGCAAATCCGGGACAGCTTGATAATGATACCATGGCAAAGTGGATGGGCTTACGCGCGGAGCGGAAGCCTGGGACATGATGCAGGCTACCTCTCNTCTACCGGGGTCCCACTCATAAGTAGAGAGTGGTGTGTACATGCTCAAGTATGTTCACGAGTAACCAGGACCATTTCAAATTAGGCCGGTCACCCGACGAATTTGTACATCTCCGACGGAGTGCATGATTAGTCCACGATTTGACGCCATCCGAATGAGGGCACACACATGAGAACATGCATATCAAGAAGGAATTCCAAGTTTTGTTGCCACAACGTGAACAGTTTATCCGCGTCCCTGTACCATGCTTTCGTTGCCCCAAAAGCAACGCTTGCGGTTTTACACGACACACTGGACAATCGATTGGACAATAGGGTCAGCCTGCCACACCCGACCTTTAAGAGTAAGCTGGACAGACATGCGCGCGCACATACACACACTCAATACTCACAAATTTGAGCATGCAAACGAGCGATGCAAGTCCCTCAAACGCTCACACACACAGCACGCGGTGAGCGCGCACGTGCACGCACGCACGCAATTGCCATCAGGCCAACTCATGCGCACGCACGCGTCAGAGACTGAGATCAGGGGTGCGGGAGTAATAGACGGATGGACAGACAGACACGTAACGTTGGCTGACGAACGAATGGGGCTATGGGTCCGGTATGCTCTGACCAGTAGGCCGTGCAGACGAATGAGAATCCGATGCCCCGATTAATATCCGATGCTATTGGACGAATGAATCACCTTGGGGATTGGACCACGGGATTATCCTAACACCGAATTCGAAGGTTAAAAATAAAAAGCCCATACAGAACCGGAACAGTTTGTTTGGTCTTTTCCTTGCTCGGTTTCGCAGTGCTGCGTCCACATCCACATGAATAAGGATGTGCTTGGAATAGGATAATTCAAGCATTGTTTTATGTACATATATACGTGAGTATATATATATGAAAAATTGAGTATGAACAAACTTTTCACACTTCATTAGAGTATTCGCCAGCGTAAAATCCGGTATCGGTGACCGGAGATTCTGGTTCACTGCTTTCCGTCCGGGCATCATTTCCCCCAATCAGTACAGTCATTGTTCACGATGCGGTCATTTTCCAAACTCTGAAACCTGTATTTTGTCTCAGTATTTGGTATGATTAAAATCGACGCAGTTAAAAGGAACAGACTGAAGATCACACAATATTTGGATGAAAAGCAGTCGTTGGTAAAGTCTCACATATACAGCTATTGATTGGAACTCATGCAACACCCTGACTTTCATCATTTTTTTTGCTCCCAAAGCTTGCTGTCTCGGGGCTCAGTCATGGGCTTGCAAATTATATTGTCCCACATCAGACCCAACATATCTCTTCTAATCTTCACTTATATTTTTGCCTCGTTAAGTCGAATAACATTACAACGTGCGATACCTCGAATTCGACGATGGTTGCCGGTGCATCAGTGGTAAGATAACAAAGCCGCAGAAATAACGTAATTATAATTCCGTTATAACAACTAATCAAAAACATGATACAGGTATTGTACTTCTACTTTGTCAATGTCCTATTTGTTCTTCTTTATTTTTGAGCACTGGAGACGGTCGTTTTTCCATGGAATCTATCAAGTTCACTATACATTAGTATTTGCCACTTTTCTCTAATTCTTGCCGCACTGTGGCCACTCACACCCAGTGTCGAGATAGATAACCTATCTTAGTTTCTAACGCAGGGGCAAAGTTTTCGTTTACATTCAAATCCCAACTGCTGAGCAGTAATTGAACGAATTGGACAAGGCCCCTCCAGAAACTGCCTAAATGTAAGAAAAACATTATTTAATGAGGTCTAGCCGTTTTCTGCCACCAACCTCGAGTTAGAAGATATACTGACCATAAACTGTGGAAAATATTAATTTCGCGAATGCATTTCGCCAAGAATGATAGTTATCGAACACGTGGCTCATCAGTGCGTCGAATTTTGCTGCCCTGTTTAAAATATTTTACAAATCTGAGCTGTAACTTTCGAACTGCTGCAAATTTTATTGCGACACTCAAAGTCACGCAAAATCAAGCGATGATGCAAAAGGACTAAGAACATGACAGTGAGAGATGAAGTTCAGAATAAATACTCTTCACTCACACCTATCCATATACACATATGATATTAGAAACTGAAATGTATTTTCAAAACTAGAGTTTTGTTGCACGAGTTTGAGCAACACCTGTACACAGGTGTTGATCCAAACTCGTGTAACATGACTCTAATATTAATAAACAGATTTCAGTTCCCAATATCATGTTTGGATATCGATGGGCTTCGGTACGTGTAGTACAGTACGAAACTTGTTGCATTGATCAAGCAGATTTTCTGTGATCACACCACTCACAACGCATTCGCAGAGAGCCATACTTTTCAAGATAAGGCTCAATTTTCTATCTCATGCTAGGTTTTGTCATAGAAATGTTTAGACATCATTATATATTGTTTTCTCACATTAATACAGTTCTCAAGCCGAATTCATTCAGTTACAACAGCCCCAATCTGAATGTAAGCGAGATAAGTTGGCCACCTATACAGTGGTCTTCAGTGACCAGGATGCAGTATGTATGGGAGGAAAGTGATAAATGAAATTTGACTGCTAAGTTGGTGCACCCCTTGCCAAACTGACTTACGTCTGTAATGGGCTCATACTATATTCTTTAATTATGTTGTTCGGTAGAGTTTATGTTTACGTTTGCATTGAGAAAAGTTCAGTAGCCTGTATCGGCTTCGAACCTGTGCGTAGACATTGTGATACTCAGCCTACATGCCACCTGGTAGATTCCATATACCTGTGCAAGGCAATCAAAATATGAAAAGATCAGTGCTAGTAGTGTGACCTCTCCACTCCGCTGTACAAAAGTGTCGGGGGCGGGGGCGTCCATTCATGGGTTTTAATCCCACCGACATTAGTGAACTTTCCACAATTTAGCAATAGAACCTTATGGATTCCATTCACTGAGCCCAAAATCCCGGGTATAAAAGATCTAACGAAGGTTACAGTGTCGTACCATTTCGATCAATGCTTGCATAAACACCTCACGACAAAGGTGATGCACTCTACGCGGACGTCACAAACCAAACTCCCTTTAAAAATATATCCGCTAGACATTCGGTATGGCAACTGGAAACCGTGAGTAGTCTGTGGTTGACGCTCGGGTTTATATATATATATATATACCTTATGAGAATTTTTGGGTGATTTTCAACTTGTTTATTTAAATGCGTTCGATACGGGACAGGTGAATTCTTACTAAGGGTTAGTCTGAAATAGAACTGGTCGATAAGCAGTGCTGGTACAACGATTACAACGAGGCGAGGACGGATCATTATA